CTTTATCAAATAAAATATCATTTATCACTGTTATTTGTCATAAAACAAGTAGATTATGGTTAATTTGACTGACAGCAGTATCGTCTTAGTTTTATTATATGATCTAATTGCATTAGTGACAAAGGAAAAGTGAAAGAAATTCATCCGGATATTGAACTTCGTGGCATGACTTTAGATAAACAAGTTCTTACTTTATTTTAACTATGCAGAAGTTCATTCAATTCTTCTTTCGTTTTATTTTATATTATAGCACTAAGTTTAGGAATATTTTATCGCTTGAAAATTTGTATTTACTATAGATGGATGATTCGATTTAAATAAAATTTTTTTGTTAATTTACATTTTCATTTTGTCTTTTATAATAACTCAGAATACTCAATGAATCAATGCTTTTTATTATTACCAGCTGATGAATCAAGTGTAGCTGTAATTGGTTTTTGCTGTTGAACAATTCTTGATGGTACTTCTGCATTCGCCTAAAATGAACAACTAATTCTTTTTTGTTTGTATATTCAATTAAAAATTAAAAACCTGTTTGAAAATATCTAAATTATCATTTACATTATTATCAAGTGTTTTTAATGTCATTGTTCCATCATCGATTTCCCAAGCATCATCTGTATTTATTGAGTATTCAGTAAATTTTTCTTGATCTTTCTTTTTGGACATTATTGGATTGGTTATAAAAGATTTTGCAGATATATTTGATGAAAGAGGTGGATATTGAGCGCCGAAAATAGATCTTACCAATAATAAAAAACAAAGAATTTGATGTTTTTTTTTTGTGTGAAAAATAGAAATCTTACCGACCAGATACGGAATGTTCTGTTTTCCACGAAGTTTGTTGTGTGTTACCAAACATTTCACATTAAGTAATTAAAGTGTGATCTCTTAAAACCATCAAGCTAGAAAAATTTTTTTCCATAGTTATAGCATACAATAAAAAAAATGATATTGTAAAATAGGACCAAGGACAAAAAAAGAAAAAAGGAAGCAAAATATAAACAAAGGTATTCAATGGATATTAAAGAAAAACTTTTTTATTGGTGGATTATTTACGAATCATTGATATGAATTGAAAATGATTTACCATAGTAACTGACTTGCTGATGTCCACAGACATTTAAACATTTATCTTTTGGATTAATTGTCAATTTTATCAACTTAGAATGGCTGTTAATAATGTTGATTTACCTGCAGTATTTTGTTTACATTACTGTTAATATTTTTTTTCTTGTTCTTTTTGTTTCTCTTCATAGTCGATGCTTCAATCTGAAGATTTTGATTTAATTGCATATGAAGCACAACGTATTGTTGATCAAGTGCTTGCGCAATCAGTACTTAATTTACATAATACATCTGATGCACATTTAAATGACAATAGAAATAATCATGAACGAGATCGTTTTATTGAATTAGAAAATGATGAATGGCGAAAAAATTCACAAGGAAAATCGATTGTAAGATGGCCAACGATTGCTGAATTTACAAATGAAAATATTGGTTTAGAGAAAATTAATGAATATATTGAAAAGGTAAATGAAGAGCTCGTTTAAAAAAAAAGATATATAATGTTCGAACTAATTTGATTAGAGATAAACTTCGATGACTTATTAAAAATACTAAGAATACGATGTTTCAAAACAATGAATTTTTATCATAGAATTCAATCAATGATGAACAGCACACTTTGATGAAAAATATTCGATTAAAATCAAATTATGAAAGAATGTCGCAAAAAAATTAAATCGATTTTTTAAGATCTTCATTAGACAGTTACTATTGAGACTAGAGATAGTCTCAAAGGATTCGCAATTATGGTTTTTTTTTTCTTGATTTATGGTTATTGTGCGTTTTTGTGATGGAATGCCATACTCTCCATCAGATCACTTTCAGAATAAACTTTCGAGTTCAAATTTTGAATGAATATTTTTTCTAAAATGGCAACTTGTCAGTTATTGCCCGTAGATATTTTTGAAATCATAACGGTTGCCCTTAGCCGCCCGTAACTCAAAATAGTTCGGCCGATGAATTGCCCATGACTCAAAAATTCCTGGCTATGCCACTGTGAAGGTGTGAGTGTCTTCTTTGCGCAAGGTAATTTGATCGCTTAATGGTGATTCTGTCGTACGCTTTCTAACGAAACTGAAATTTTCATTAAAAAGTCAATTAATTTTTTGGATACAATATAAAAAAAGTAGTACTAAGTTACTCATTCATAGAATCAAAAATATCTTATCTTAAACTAGAAATAAATTAAAAAGGTTTTTTCATGACAGAATCATGTTCATAAATGAACTATTTTTCAAATGTAAATAACCTTCTTAAGAGATGGATTTCTTTTTATGCTTAAAGAATCTACTTCGAACAGTTTTAGAGTATGTGATCGATTTTAATAATAACCATATTTGCTTATATGAATAATCAGAAAATAAAAACATATGACGACTATAGATTTTACGTGATATCTCTGTAATAAAATTTTTCTTTTGCGATATACAAAGCTATATAGATAAAAAACTACATTCTTGTATGCTATAAATATTGCCTTACAAGGTGGCAATATTCTATTTTGCTCTATTTTATAGTTTAATTTCGCTCAGACAACTAAACATGTCATCTACTATTTATTAAATGTGTACCAGGAAAAATTGAACTTAATCTCGGTGTCTTTCTCTTTTGTTTCTCAGCCATAAAAAGATTTTCTCGTTTGTCTAAAGGTAGACAATTTTAAACTATACAAAATTGTTGACTTTGTTTCTCAAACGAAGTCCTCTTTTTGACACAAAATTTAGAAGAAGAATATTTATCCAGTCGTCAGACTGCGACAATCAAGAAAATGAAAAACCAATGCTAATTTTTTTAATAAAGATCTCGCTAAACGTTCACCTATTTCATAAATTTTTTCGTAAAACTTGGCATCTTTCAATGATAGGTTCAGAATTTTAGAAGAAACAGTTTTGAAGGGCAAGACGCGAAACCATAAGAAAAAAATCTTTTTTCTCTTGAACTTATTCCATTGGTATTTTCTAATATAAAACAATCTGTATATTTTCATAGTTTGATTCAATATTTACATTGTTTTGTTCAGAATCAATTTCAGCAGCTGACAGCATAATAGCAAATATTTCATCGAGTCAATCTGGCTCATGAAGACATGGTTGTTCCAAGAACACTGAAAACTATCAACAATTGTCAGTTTCAAGTTATTTTCTTGTCAAGATTCTCAAAATATATACTGATAGGTGTCAGCAAAGAATAGGCAACCGCAGTTGAAAGACTGAGTAAATGTGCATCTTCTAAACTGATTTGAAAGGTACCAAGATTTAATGCAATTTATTGTGCAACATTCATTAGCACAAGATAAAAGAATCATGAAGACAAATTCTTGTAGGTTCTCTCTACTTTCAATCGAGGTTAAGCCTCATTTCAAAAAGGATTTATCATTTTTTGAGGTTCGTTCTTGATTTTCTATCGATCTTTTCTATCTCTGGTACCACAAAAGGTATTGAAATGATTGTTATTATAAAACTATTATGTTATTCCGACCATACAATTAGAAGGAGACAGGAATTGTCTCGTCTTAAACTTTTCTAGCGTTCTACGTTTATACCTGATTCATTTCGTAGATATTGCAGAATACTATGTGCAAATTTCAGCTCAATATGTAAACAGCGAATTTAACTGTACTTTTTCTCAGCATTTTTCGACCAAACAGCTTATTAAGTATCCGATAAATATCCTATTTTAAAATACATAAATTTTCAATATTTCCCTTAAAATATTGATACAGTGTATTTTTTCGGATATGATATTTACAAAACTTTCGTCGGTTAAGGGAAAAAACTAAGTTTTAAATTGATTTCTTGTGTTTGAAATTTCACTCCTTCTCCCACTTCAATAATAGTAGGCATGAATGAAGAGAAGAGAAACATCCTTACTCACTTGCACTATTCTAACTGAGAATATATTTTTCCAGAAAAAAGGCTAACAAATGAATGGTTTCTTTGTAGCTTTCGAAGACATTTTCTTTTAATTCTTCTGCCTTCTAAGCAGACTCCAATCGAAAGCTATGTTGTGACTTTATGAAAAAGTTGACTCTGTCTAAGCTTGGTTAATTTTTAAATTAAATAGAAGATAATTTATATTTATTGAAGGAATGGAAAGCAACACCTGGTGGTCAAGATGCATGTTGGTTATATGCAATTGATTTTATTGAAAAAAAGTCTCTTGAATTTAATGATCTTTATATATATCGAGTACATAGAACTTTTTTTCTTCAAACAGGAACTTGACTTTTTTAATTATATTTCTTGATAGGTTCGTTATTCAATACCAACAAGAAGACAACCAATACCAAGACAAACAGTATCTATATATTTTACTCTTGATGTTTCTAAAGTTAAACCTAAAGTAAATAAATATATAAATAAAAGAATCTGGCAATCTTTTAAGTTTCATATATTTTAGAATACACCTATTCAAGTTTCATTTGTATTGGAAACAATGCGGCTTGTTCATTATCCAGATACATTTCGTTTTCGTCAAACATGGTTAGAAAATATTATTTTATTAAAAGAAAAAATGACAAATGGAATTGACTTTTAATTGATTCTCTTTGTTTTGTTCTTTTCTTTTTATTCTCTTCATTATCTTTGGTCTATAGATTAATCAACATTAATAGAATGAAAGTTCACAATGATAAATGATTTAAGATATATTTATAATAAATGTACATATCGTATGAATTCTTCTTTTTTTCTTTTTGGTTGCGCTCATTAAAAAAGAACAAAAAATTGTGGCTAGAGGATAAATGATATCGATTAAACATAAGTGTGCATATCTCTTAAAGATAACAAACAAAAAAATAGGTGGACTGTTCTCTAACATCGTACACACTCTTCTAATATTCTGTGATACTATGCGAAAAAAAGAAAAGACTGAAGAATATTATCGAAATGTTTTATTTTGTATTGCATTGACAATGATCAAAATGAAAATTAGGCAACAAGTGATGTTGATAAAGACATACGATTTTGATCAACTGATGGTCGTTTAAAGAAATTTAATGGTTCACTTTGATCTGGCTCTGATTGATATTTACCTAGAATGAAAAATTATATGAGTGATTTTTTTTTTACAAGAACAACTAAGAATTAGCTTTTGAAAACTTACCACTACAAATTTTCTTTTTAAATAATGATACACGATATCCTCGACATGCAAATTCAAAATTAATCGATGAAAATAATGCATTTTCAGCAAGAAATTGAACATGTACAATTGATGATGCTGTTAATGGTTTTTGTTGTTGATCATTATCACTATTATCTGTTGTTGATTGAACTGTCGTTATAGTTGCTGTAAGCGTCCCTGATCCATCAAATATATACGGAATTTTCCAGGATAATTTATGTTCAGTTAAAGACCTATTTATTAATATAAAACATATAAATCACAAATAAAACAAAACCTATATTCACCATTCAGCCATTGGTATTGATTGATTTATTTGTTGACCATCTGTTATTGTTGTATAAAATGTAACGACATCATTAACTAATCGAATTGATTCTGGTAAAGCTGAACTATTAAAACGATAATTTATATTAATTGAAATCGTATCGAATGTACGTGTCCATTGTGATGATACTTGTATTGGAATGTTTGATATTCCTGTATGTTTAACCTTTGATAATAAAAATGAAATTTTATTATATTTAATGAAAAAAAAAATTAAACAAAACATTCTCACTTCATATTTAAGTATTCCGAAATTGAAAAAAGGTAATGAACGATTTTTTTCTTGTAAATTACGAAGAATATTGCTTAGTGCTGACATATTAAATGAATAAGTTGGTCCATCCGATGAGTCTACTGATGATTGATTTCTATTTTTAAATCAAGAAAAATCGATTGATAAAAAAAAAAACTTTTTTTTTCTGTATTTATTAAATTTACGATGTTATTAATTGAGGATTTGCAATAATATTTTCTACTTTATTTAGATTTTGTAAACGAAATTCTAATGTATTTAAAATAGGTGATGGATTAACAAGTAAATTTAAAATAGCAGCTGGAAATGAAACAAGCATATCACCAAGTATTCGAATTTTCCATCTGATAAAAAAAACGAATAACTTATATTTTAGAACTAAAACAAAAATTCTTTTTTTCTTTCTTTTACTTTGTTTGATCATCACCAGACATCATAACATGAATTGTTTCTTGAAAAGCAACTGCTATTGGAATTTGATCACTAGCACCAATTGTTAATGGAGATATTCGTTGATCTATTGATGCCATTAAACTATTAGAAAGACTTTGATTGTTCGGACCAGTAAATGGCGTCATACGACCATTTGCAATAGATGGACCAACTGAACTAATTGTGGGTTGTTGTTGCTGAAAAAATATATAAAATATAAAATTTGATGATTTGATTGAACTGTGTATTTTTTACTTAATTTCAAAAGGAAGCAAAACAAGTGATATTCATTTAAAATGTATCTAGACAAATTATCTGATTCAATTTAATAATGAACTTATAACCTAGTTATAAGAGATTTAAACAATTTATTCGAATAAATTCAAATTACTTTTCAACAAACAGTATTGAACCTTGCGGAACAAAAACCGTACATGAGCATGTCCTGGCACGAAAAAATTCAGATTAGAAATATGTGGAACTATGATTTTTCCGTTCCAGTAACTTATTTTCTGGTACTTTCGGTTATGATCTTGATAAATCTAATTTGGTTCCGGTTTGAAGAGAATTATTGCAGAATTGATTCATACCATATCTTAAGAAAAGTTTGCAATACTTGTTTTTTATTTATTTTTATCGACGATTAGTACTTTTCGGGTCATATCGCTTGAATTATACCCTAACTGATATAATTTACAAGATAACTTGTTTAAAACTATAGATTATTCGGCTATAATTTGCAGTTCCGGTCGAAACAACTTTTTTCTCATAGTTTCGATCTCCGCATCTTTCTTTCCCCATGGTATTTTGGTCTTTCAAATCTATAGTTCAGATTTATTCATGCGTAATATTATTGTTATTGATCTAGCTAAATTCACCGACAGTTTTATTCTCTTTCTTAAGTTTTTAATTGAATATTTCATTTCTTTTTATTTTTTCTTAACTTTGATAGTGATGCAGAAATGATTCATCAATCCAGTATAATACTGTTGCCATTTTGTTTCATGTGACTATTCACGTTAAGGAAAAAGAAAAAGAACCGTTTGTTTTGTATTTATTCTTTTGTAAAATGTTTATGTTAGTTTATGCCTTGTAAATCTATTGTATTTTTCGTCTGAAAAAAGTTGCTTAGAGTAAGAAAGCGTCACATTATTGTGTACTAGTAAAAAATTAAATGATATCAAATGAACAATGAAACAATTAAGAAAGAGAATAAATATGTCTCTAAATTCATCAACCTTCTTCTCAAGAAAAGACTTGATCTAGCTGACACTATTCTATAATTTGATACGAGTGACATACATAGACGTTCTACTAGTCTTTGAAGAATCAACAGCGTTGATTAGCACTGAAAATTGCTTCACTTAAATTAATCTTATGTTTCATTACTTTGATTCAAGAAAAAGAATTTCAATCTGAAAGGGTTAATAATAATTTCATATACGAACTCTTTTTTAATTCATAAATGGCATACGTTTTTCTTTTTATTGAAAGCTCGATTATTACAAAAATATCAATTAAACTATTGATAGATATTCTATTCTATTTAGTTTGGATAAGACTATTTTAAAACTTAATAATAATTATGCATAAAGCGATTTTTAAAACCTCGTCACTATGTGTTCGTGTACGAGACCATAATTTAACATTCGACGGAGGAATAAGATGAGGAAGAAATTTCGATGGACGATTATCATTTATTTTAAGAGTAATATTGTTCATTGAAATGCTATGTAATGAATCTATCATACGAGAAAAATAACTTTAAATAATTATATTGAAAAAATTTTACGAATAGATTCTGTATCATTGAGTGATATGTCAGATAAACTCTCTCGAGCTGTATGAAATGAATAAATTGATAGTTGTTTTGTTAAATTATTCGTCATTATTTCTTCAGTTTGGTTTGTTGAAAAACCAAAACTTGTTTTTGTTGTTATTGGTATTTTATGTCTTATTGACAATGGATAAAGTTTTCGAAAAATAATTGGTGTTCGTTTTGTTGAAATTTTCCAAATTGAACGAATACATGTAATAATTGATAATCGAATTTTTAAAATTTTTTTTGTTGAATATTTCTCTTGAAATATTATATTAGATTTTAAATTAATTAAATCAGACTTTGATTTTTTTACAGTAATTTTATATTCATATGGTTGAATAATAGAAAGGTTATTTTCAGATGAATGATGAAAAGACGAAAAATTATTATGCTTAAACGAAACAGGGAGAACATGGAAACAAAAACAATGAATATTGATTCTTACAAGTGGTTGCCGAGTTCGAGGTGGTCGTGGAATTACAAATGGTGCTGTTTTATTTGTTGGACTATCAACAGGAAATGAATTTGCCACTTCAGTATCATCATCAGTCAATGGTATCGATGTGGGTTTTTTACCTAAAAGATATTAAGTAATAAAAAGCTGTCACAATGAAACACTTTACATTATAGTATAGCTATTGCTTCGCCAAAGAAGACCTCAAGTTTTCTATTATGTTCAAATGTAGAAATTTTTCTCGGTCGGTTCAAAATGATCTAAATTTTGTTGCGTTTATTGTTATACTTTTTAATTTCAAAGGCTTTGAGAAGAGATTCTTCAATATTTTCAGCTCAAAATTTTAAAAAATAGGCATATTTTGAAGTAAATCTACTAACTAAAATTCCAATTTTCAAGAAATTAATTAATTAAACAAGGTTTTCTGTCACATTCAGAATATGGTTGCTTCAAGGAGATGTTCTATTGTGCCGAAGGGAATGTTCCGTTCAATTTAGCTTCTAAATACAAGTAACTCTATCAACTTAGAAAGTTATATATTTGAACTAAATAATTTATAAGAAACTAAAAGAATGAAAATTTTCTTCTAATCATACTTTCTGCATCAAGAGTCATCGATCTAGGATGAACAGGAGCTGGTGGTATGTTTTCTTGATGACTGGAAGAAACAGTCATTGATTTAGAACGTGCTTCAAATTCATCAAAAGTATTTGTTAATGATGTATGTGGTGACGATAATGGAAAAGTAGATGATTGATCAATATTATCTGTTGTAACACTTGTTGACCTTGAACTAAATTATTTAAAAAACATAAATTATCAAAAATTTTACAAAAAAATTTCTTCTACGGTGTTTGACGTGATGGAAGTGGTGGTGGTATTTTTGTACCAATTTGTCCACTGGATGTGGATTTACTCATATCGGGAGCTTTCTATTTAAACAGATAAAGAAAATTTTATTATATAAATTTCAAAATTTCTAACATAAAACAGCAGTTTTAGTTATTTTTTCATGCAACACAACAATTAGACAAAAGAATAAATAAAATTCAATTTTACCTCATCCTATAAAAGAATTCGTTTTTTTTTAAATGAATAAATTATTTTAAATTTTCTTTTTGAATTGATTTCAATTGAACTTACTCGTCCTGCTGCTCGTGAATATGTTGCAAAATGTCCAATATTTTTATCAACAACACGCATAACATTCATAATATTTGTTTCATCATTTTCTTCGGCTATTGGTGTTTTTTGTGTTGTTGGATTTATTTTAAATTGAATTTTTGATATTGGAAAATCGTCATCATCATCATCACTTGAAACACTTGAGCTTGTTGATTTACGCAACGTTGATGTTGAAAATGGTATTGTACTTTGACATACAGGACGATTAATACTATTATTTGGAATCGTTGGACTTGATTGTGTATATGGTTCAGGAGTGGGCTAAAAGAAAAAAATTATTAAAAAAATAGAAAATCACAGAAAAATGTTTCTTTTACACATTTGCTTTTAGTTCTAGTTGATGATATTTGATCAAGACCATCCATACTACCCATCATTTTATTAATATCATTTGTTTCAAAAGCTGAATTTTGTGAATTAACTGAACCGGTTTCATCGTGTTGTTGTTGTAATTGAGCTGTTTTAGTTAATTTGGAGTTATTTGATGTTTTCTTGTCGGCTTTTTTCTCTTTTTTCTCTTTACGATTGGATGGCCAAAAACCTATTAAAACAAAGTATTATGTTTTAGTTTCTCATGTAAATAATTCTATTCATTTTTCTTTTTTTTTTTCGAATTTTTTTTTGTCTGTTGTAATAATGTACCTTTAAATGCTGGTCGTCGTATTTTAACATCAAACGGATTTGATGTTTGTTCATTGCTTGTTTCTTGTAAACGTGCTAATGGATTATTTGGATTACTAAGACTCATTGGTGGATTATTAAATATTGGAGACATTGTTTGATTATTATGGGGTACATATTGATGTCCGAGTGAAGAAGTTGAGGCTAATGCTATAATAATGAAAAACAAAAGGTATTAAAATTTCAAATAAAAGAAATTATTTATTGTATTATTCTATACTATCATAAAGCAAAGGGCGCGCTGATTAATTGAAAATAGTCGAAAGAAGAACCTAATCATGTAGCAGAAAAAGATTTGCGTGTTTTGTGACAAAAAAAAAACGAAATGAATTTTTTATGTATAATTGCTTTGTATTTCTCTCTTTTGACGCTTTATTTATTATTGTCTATATGTGTCATACAAACCATGTAAAAATTTATAATAATGATGAGCTGAATTTATTGATAGAATAGACAAAGTGTACAAAAATAAAATCTTACCTCGATTACTATCACTTTTTTTCATATTTGTTGTTGATGGGCATCCAGATGAAATAATCGGTGATGAAACAGGAAAATGTGCTTGAAACGAAGGTACATTTGTTGTTTCCGGTGAATCAAATATAATTAGTTCATCTGACGGATAACCTGCTGAATCAGGTGTTAATGATGATGTTGGATTTGTAGAATTTGTTAGATTTAATGATGTTCTAATATTATCAATTTCTTCAAATTGTACAGGAACTATATAAATGAATGTTAAAAAGAAAAACGAAATATAATAAGAAAAAAAATAGTTTGACTCATAGATAAGAACGTAGGATATTTACCGGGTCTTTCTACGCCTGTTTTTTTATGTTCGACAAATGCTTCAATAAGATCATTACCAGTAAATTGTTTAATTTTTTCAATAAATTCATTTTGTGCTACACCTGTTTGTTCATTGTTACGTTTAAGTATTTCAGAATAATTAAGCGAAAATGCAAGCATCTTTTCAACATGTTCACCTTCAAAATCTTGAAACTTTGTACAAGCTTAAACAAAAAAAAACAAACAAACAAAGAACATAATTAATTTATTATGTATTTGCAATTTAATTTAAAATAATCAATTTAACAAAAACACGAAATGCTAATCAGGTACGATAGCTTCATTTTCATACGAGCGTATATTATTACAATTAATTTAGTTACCAATACTCCCACGTCTTTCATTACAACTTGTAAATTATTGGATTTGATTAGTAACAAAATTTAGATATGATTGTCAATACATGATAGCTGTATGAAGAACTTTTTAAATCTACCGAAAAATTATTCAAAACATTAGACTGAGAAAATCATTTTCATCGATAATTCACATCCAGGAAATTCGTCTCGATATATGTTTAATAGTGATTAATTGTTCAAAATTCTATTCCAATCATACATGGAAAAGAAAATAAAGAGATCGACAATGAAAAGTTTTAATCTAGACATATATATATGTGTGTGTATGCTGGTGTATTATTACGCAAACCGAAATTACTTCTTCGAAAGAACACAAATTTATAACTATCACCATATTTTATATTAAAAACATATTTTATCTTAAATTTTCGAGAATATTTTTACGAAAAATCGAACGACTCTTATCCTTTGTCGTTAAAATGAAAATTCACTTTGCATGAAGAGTACATTAAAAACAAAAATGTGAATCTTGTTTTAACATTTTAATACTATTGATATTTGACCTTGAGGTAAGAGATAAAAAGCTTAAATGTAATCAAAATCGAAGGATATCTGTTTACTCTCGAAAAAAAACCAAAGAAAAGAAAAGAAAAACTTTCCATATAAGAAATCTTATTAATTTACCATCATAAAAACGTTTTTCGAATTCATTTCTTAATGAATTATATTTTTCAATTGATGCTTTATAATCATCATGTGATTGACGAAATTTTTTTTCTAAACGTTCAAATTGTCTTGTTGATGATGTTAATGTATTCAATGCTGTTTGTGCAAGACTACTTGTTGTATTATTATCTTGTGGTACAGGTGTTGATGAACCATTAGTTAAATTATTTCCTGAACGTTTAGTACGTTCATAATCTAATCCAATTGAATGATATTGTTCTTTAGCTTTATTAACTGTATTTAATGCATTATTTAATTGTGATATAAGGTCAGCTGTACGTGCTATATCAGGATCTTTTTGTATAGATGTTTTAACTTTTTTTAAATATGAATCATGATAATTATGTATTTCACGTAATAGATCTTGATAATATGTAACTGTGGTTGAATGTGCTAAAGCAATTTTTTCTAGTAAATCTCTTATTGAATGCCATATTGGTGTAAATGTTCCAACATGTTGAAATTTTAATAATTGAGTTTGTAAACGAGATAAATTTTTACAATATGTTGATTCATATTGTAAACTAAATAGAACGAAAGAAAAAACAATAAAAAAAAGAAAAATAACTTAATGAATATTTCTGACATACTTTTCATTGAGAAATCGTTGAAATTCTTCAATAGCAATGCCACTATTTTTTACATTTGTTGATAATACTTCAAAACCTCGATTACCTTCACCCCAAAAGGTATCCCTCCAATGAACCATAGGAATAATAAGATCTAAAATGACTAAAGATAATTTGTATGTTGTTCTCGAACGAATGAAAAGAAAAGAACATTTTCTCTTTTTCTCTCGTCCTTTCAACAACCAATTCATATATTAATCGCTAGTGGTCATGAATATATTTTCATTGATTGTAGCGCTTTATATTTGAAAAGAAATAGGTTGTGTTTTTTTTTTTTTGTTTTTTCTATATGCGCTTTTCTATTTACCATGGCGGAAAAAACTTTACGATCAAATACAAATGTACAAACATCATCATCAACGAAAATGGCTACAACTTTAATGGCTTATGCTCAATTAGAAATAGATAATAGTACAACATGTATACCAAGGTAGATTAATTCAATACTCATTGATTAATTATTTATTATTATGGTTTGCTTAGACTCTGTAAATTCAGTATTGTTCGTATTGTATTAAATCGATCGATTGATAGTGGAGATTCAAATGCAATTGTTGTTGCAGTAAAAATTCAAGTAAGATTAAATTATTTTATTTACTAAGTTTATCATTTTGTCTTTATTGATTAGAGTAATAGACGAACATTTCGTTGTTGTGAAATTCCCCTTCAACAAGATGGGACTTTAGATGCACCTGTTAATCTACAATATTTTATAACTGTTCGTTTGCATTGTTCGCTTTTTAGTTTAAAAAATAAGATTTCTCTTTTGACTCTATATATAGTATCCTCATTACTTTAAACGAGATATAAATAAAGTTCAAATTTATGTTCAACGAAGAAAGAATCGACCAATGATTGGTTATAAAACATTAGCAAAGGGCGAAGTAAATCTCGATCAAGTAAGTTTTTTATATATGATTTTTTAGATTATATATATTGTATACCTAAAGAACGAAAGCTTGTGCTTAAATAAAGGAACTATCAGAAATATTAATGAATTTTAATAGATTTTGACATTTCAAAAAGGATATTATTTCGTATAAAAACTTCTCAAGGATCTATACAAAAGAAAAATAAACTCAAAATAATATCATTAATCATGAATGTCTGCAAAATTACAAAAAATCTAGCGTGTTTGCTAACTAACATTCAATGAATGAATAGATGCTGAAAATAGATTCAAGATCCATTCTCTTTTGTTTTGTCAGACTAAGAGTATGCTTTTATGTTAATGAGAACGTGTTGTTGGAGTATTGTCTATCTCTAGAAATATATAATTCAATTCATAACTCTCTAGTTTTATCTTATCATCAAAATATTTGATTATTTATATAAGATATCGTATTTCCTTACTTATTATATTTAATTATTTTGAATCGTAAACAATGTCTAACATTAAGGTTATTCAACACCCACAGAGTATGAATCTTCATTTATATTTAAATACGAATGAAAAATCCAAACAACAACATTTACGTTCAATAAATCAAGATGAATTATCTAATATAAAAATTGAAAAACATCTTGTTGGTTATGTATCAATAGTTTCATTATCAAGTACAATTCCAAATGAATCTGAAACTATAGCACGACCAGAACTTGGATTAACATCAAATCGATTATCAATAAAACATCATCATTTTGGTAAAATAATTTCTTTCTTATTGTTGTTCTTTGTTTTAATGTTGTTCACTTTTTAGATAAATCATTTAATGATGATGATGAATATATTGAAGAAGAAGAATTAAATTCTGAACTTGAAGATAGTGATCTTGAATTTAATAGTAAAAATAAACAAAAATTTAATCCAAATATAATACGAAATAAATTAATTCAAATGTTTAAACGTAAAAGTGTGCAATCAACAACAAATTTAAATAAAAATTCTAATACAACAACAACCAATACAACAGCACAACTAACACATTTAAATGATCAACATACGAGATTTAAATTAAATCGTCAATCAGATATTGAAGAAGAAGATCCTCCATCAGATATGAGTGATAGTACAATACCAGTTGATCAATGGAGTATTGAATCTGTACCTAAACCAGGTTTTACACCAGTTGAACATTTACAAATACTGAAAATTGTAAGTGAAATAAAAGAAAATTTATCAATACAAAAAAGAAACCAGGAGCAATTTCCTTTTTTTTTGTTGATTTATATAGTCTGAAGATGACCCTTATTCAACAAGAAAATCAACAAATCCATTTGATAGTAATGATAGTCCATTAGATTCAGATACATCAGATTTTGGTATGGATATTGATCGAACACAATTACCTCAAAAAATCATATCAGTACCTGAAGAAAAATTACCACAACGTTCAACAGTTTGTTTTAATATATTTTGAATTGCGTTAAATCTATTTTCAATTATTTAGAATATACGTGATAATTCTATTAAACAATTTGATGAACTCTATGCCAATGATCGCCTTCCAGACTCTGTTATTTTTCTGTATACAGGTCTTAATCAATCGAATGTAAGTTAACGACAGTGTGTAGTTCCTAAATGATTTAACTCAATTAGAAAACAAAATGTATCCGGTCTACCTGAAATTTTCAATAATTGTAGAGTACATTATTTTATGCTATTTTTTAAAGTTTCAACTGGATGAGTTGAGTTTTTTAAAAGTAAGTTCTAACCTGAACTAGGATGGTAAGGTCAAATTTGGGTTCATTTCTTTTTTAGATCATAGATCATATAAGAGAAACTATTTGAAAACGTTTCATTGACCATTCCAAAGAGAATTGAATTCTGAACGAAACTGAAAATTTCAGACAACTATCCCGATTAATACGAGTTTAGATACATTTTAAGCATGATCTTATTCGTGTAGGAGCTGTTTTAATCTTATTTTGTAAAAACCCCGAAGCTATTCTTTAACCATAAATAGAGTATTCCAATAGCTTCAAAATGACGTTAAGAATAATTAGGAAAATGTCTGTCTTCTGTCATCTTCAATCATCGTAATATGTAGCTCGATAATATGTCAATAAAATCCTAAGGATATTTTCGTGTATTTATCTTTTTTCACTAGTATAATTTTTTCTATATACAAAACAAAGTTCATATTCTAAACCAGTACAAAAATCTGAATTGAATAACATGTGTATCAATGAAAAGTTGTTGTTTTGATGAAAACTTACCTATGTAATCATCCCTCTAAGGTGAAGTTTTTTAAAAAGTAACTTGAGAGAGACAAAGGTGAACTTTTATCAAAAAAAAAAAACATTTTTCATAGAAACACGTGTTATTCGATTCAGAATATGACATTTGTATTGTTTATAAAGAAATTATAATAGTCAAAACAACTAAATATGCGAAAGTTTCATTTACTACTATCTAATAACATTTTATTGAATTGCACATTATAATGCTTGAATGGGATAGAAGATTAGATGTTTCATAAGAATTTTTAACGTCAAATTGTAGCTTTTGGAATACTCTATACATGGCTAATACATTCGCATTAACCGGAATGATTTTTTGAATATTCGGTTTTGTTCAGAATAAAATTCTCTATCGAATGACATATAAAACGTCGTCAAATAGTTTCCTCTTCTGTGATCCATGATCTAACAAAGGAATGAACTCAAATTTAATCGAAGTATGTTGGTCTAGGTCAATACTAACCTCAAAAATTCACTACACCGAATTCTGATTGAATCAAATCAACCGGAAAATGTCCTTTATTCTTTCTTATAGATTAATTTCTTATTTTATTACTTCCATAGGTGACTGCATCAAAATTTAAAGAATATAATTTGTCAGTTATATCACTCCATGCATTAACTGAATCAAAAGTAGTGTTAAATAATATAATTCAACGTATACAAAAATGGTTTGTATATTAAGAGTTTTTCGAAAAAAAAGGATATTTGTATGTTGTTGTTTTTTTCCTTTATAACTTAATAGTGGCAGTCAATCTGTTATACGCATTGTTCTTCTCGGTAATGATGCATTTGTTAATTCATTTCTTCAATCTTATGTTGAATGCTTGGCTTCAAGACCACGTGAATATATGGCTTATTTTCGATTTTATTTCGTTCCATTAGGTAAATTCAAATGAATATTGAAAACTATTTTTCTGACAAGATTAGTTCATTAATGAACAAATTACTGATTCTAGTAAACTTAAAACATTTGACAATGACAAAAAAATATTTCTCTATGAAATAAACATTCTGCTATATCAATTGAAAAGATTTTTTCTGAAACGCAAACTCTCATAAAAGAACTAATTTTAGAAATCATATTTTAAACGAAAGAGAAATTAGTCATCAATATATTTCAAAAAGTTTCAATTATACCGATAGATCAATGGCAATAGACACTTGATGTAAACTCATCGTAATAGAAAAATTGATGATAGATTATGACATAAGCGACAACAATTCTATTTCATTTATTTGTTTCAACTTCGGATAGTCCTATTATAAAACTAGCGAGAGAATTTTAAAAAACCTGACCTTGTTCGAAGCTTTTGCGAGAGAGAAATCAGCAATTTCGAAACTCTATTTATCTTGCCACAAAAACATCTGTTTTTCTACTAGCAAGAAGAATTTCCTTGTATGTCTAAAATATCGTTCTTGTTAAGCGTTCAATGAGACCTAAATAGGATCCGTTGTTTTACTATTTATCATGATTTCATCAGGCTAATATCGGAATCGATTCTGCTCAAGTTCACTCATTATATTATAATGAGCATTAAGTTAAAAACTGCAGCTCGGATTTAAATTGTCTCATTCGATGAAAGAAAAAGAATTCTTTTACTTAAAGAATTAGTATCAAAATGACTATATCACGAAGTTCTAATGATATTTGAGTGGTTTCAGATGCAAAATAAAAATTTTTAATTGTGTACAATAATGGATGCAGAATACCTTTTAAGAAAAGTCTATGTTGACAAGAGTTTATGTCTAATAAGAAATTTTTGTCAAGTTTTTTTTGAAAGAAATAATAGAAACATTTGTCTTTGAATAAAAATAATTCTGTGTACAATTAAGTTCGAATGACATTGCTTCATTTTCCATCCACTAGCATGATTTGGAAAAATCAAGAATTTCTGTTCGAAATCTACGTCAAAAATTATTTCTAACAATGTCTTAAAAAGAAAGACTATTTCTTTTGGTTTTCGAGTATTGTACAAATCCGGGAGCTGCTGCTATGTAATACAAGTTTGAAATGGTTGTCACATGTTGATAAACCATGAAGAAACTATGACGTCATTGTTTCAGATAATACTGAAAACATCTAGATGCAGAGCTTTACCTATTTTAAGATCGATGTTCTTATTCCCTTTCTCTTGAGGTCAACGACACAAAAGTTTTGATTTATTTATATCAACAGTATTCTTGATTTCGCATAGCCATCATTTCATATGTTTTCATAAAATCATGCTATTAATTACATAAACTCACCACTATTTTCATATTCGTATTTTGTATATGTTCGTGTTTTTTATTATGTTAACTAAAGTAATCTTGTAATATTTACTGCTAGGTTTGTAAAGAATTAAAAGGCGAATCTAATGAAATCATTACAAAATGTGTTTACAAAACACATTTTACTGCCGTTCGAACATTTGCAGAATACTGAAAAACAGAGATGAGATAAAGCGTTCAACAGAGATTCTTCATGATTGTGCGTCATTTTTCTAAAGTATAGTTTAGCTAATGAAACCTGCGGCTATTGTTTTCTAGAAAATTTTGCATCAGTCATCTATTAGTTTAAAAACATAATAGAAAAACAAACGAAGTAAAATTATTCGTACTCTATATACATAAAGACAAGAAAGTGATTAAAAGGGAAAATATTCAAATACAACAGGTATAGTAGTCCTGATAATTATCGCATTATATTTCATTAGAATGATTGACTTTATACTAGCGTATCATTTTATGCATGATAAGGAACTATTGAAAAGCAAGCAAACATTTCTGAAGATCTAACATCGTAGCTTTTAAAGCTTCGCAATGAAAAAATCAGTGTGAGTTTCACAGTCGAGTAATTAATGACAAAAAAAACGAATTATGCAATTAGGATGACGAAAATCGAATTTATTTTTCTTGTTCTTCTATTTGTGTGGATAAGTTCATGTTTACTTCAATAAATGTACAATGATCATAAGCAATTGTTATCTTTATCTTTTTAATAATTTTTTTGTCTAGTTTTCTCGTATTTGGCGAAATTTCTCGGTAGTTTTGATTCTCAATATGAAGCACTCTTTGGTAGTAATGAATCTTCAAATGAAATATCAGGTATAGAATTATACTTAACATAGAAAAATAACTTTCTTATTTTACTTAATTTAGATCTACGAGATTTATCACAAAAGATTACACGATATTTAAAAACTTCTCAACGTACACTGTCATTACCTGTTGGTGAAGTTATGTTGAATCGAAAAGGAAAATTGTATGTTTTGTTTTGTTTTATAGAATGCCATTTATGACTTTGCAAAATCTTGTTTAAGTTTCTGCTAATCGAGATATAAGAATTAATTCATATAATGAAAGTATACAATTAAGTAATACACTATTCTATTAAGCAAAAAGTATCAAACTGCTTGTTATAATCACCTTAAGAATCGTATTCTGGGAGAATGTCATTGACCTATTTCCATCACACTTCGTATTTTTACACAGGAAAGTCTCCCACTGTTTAATCACTTTATACTTGAGACTATTACTATTCGAGGGGTCTTGATAGGTAGTAAGAAAGGTTTATTTGAGTTTTATTTTCTGAGCTTCGCTTGTCGAGGTATAAGCGTTTTTCTCGATTTTTTTTGTCCTACGAACATCAAATCATCAAGAATCTGGATGATCAAGTTTCAGGCTGAGACTTTGTCCTTAAATAGATTTAATTTTCATGAAACACCACTTAATGTTTGTGCTACGACAAACACATACGTATGGAGGCACCAGCTTGTCATATAAAAGTCGTTTTTTTTTGGAGACACTGCCCAAAACAGTCGTTTCTTCTAAAACTGTAAATATCTTAACAAGAATAAATTCCTTCTGTCTTAAACTTTGAGGTGTTTTGAATGTCTACAAACTATATCTGTGAACTAAATCTCAGTTTGAAAACTGATCACCCAAGTTCTCAGCGATTCTAAACTCATGGAATCAAAAATTGAGTAAAACATCCATAACTCGACAAGCCACAACCGAAAAAGCACATCAAAACATACTTTTTCACTATTTATCATGGTTGATCGTATGACAATAGTATCAAGTGATAAGCAATTCAACAGTTCGAAATATTCTCTCGTTAGAGAAAACTTAAGCAATGTTTTTCGACATTCATAAAAAGATATCTTGTCTTTACTATTTATTCAACTGATATTTTTCTAGACCAGAAGAAGATTCATCACCAACATTTTTACCATTCTTTTGTGTATGTATTATTTATTTTTTTAATTTTATTTTCACTATAAAAAAAACATTAATTTAGTATGTTTGTCTTGGAACATTATCATCGAATGAAAGTCAATTATCATCGATTGATGATAATGCTCTTCTCTCGGCATCATTATCTTTATCTATATCAGCAAATCAACAATCACGTGAATTAAAAGATTCATCAGATGATGAAAATAGTCAAACAATATTATCAAGTTCTCCACAATCGAAAATAGCCAATCAATTAATAAAAAATTCTCATACAGATGAACCATCAACATCACCAGTTGATGTATCAGTTGACTATTGGACGATAGTTGATAATCAAAAAGAAAAAAAAGATGGAATAAGAACAATAAAATCATCATTGAAATCTAATATACGTGTATTAACAATTACAAGACAATTAATAATGAATTCAGATGAAAAAATTTCTCCTTCATTAACAATGACTTATGTAACACGTGAAAAAAAGCAAAAAAGTAAATTATTATACTAAAAATAATTTAAATTATAAAATGATTATTTTAGTTATGAAATTTGGAAAAAAACTCAAAGATTTACAAAATACAAAAATGATTGAACCACAAGCAATAACCGGTATTAATCGACTTGTTTGTACTTCTAAATCACATAATGTTGAATTAAAGGGTATGTTAATAAACCATAACATTCAATATTCTATTAAATAGAAATTTGTTTATTATGCAGCATTCGATATGAACCTAAGTCTGATAAAACCAAATAATAAAACATACTTTGAAAATTATATAGAAAAGAAGATATAGTAGACAGGAAACTTGTATGAAATTTAAATCTATTCGTCCGAGTAACAAGCAATTCACTAACTATCGAAAGTCAGTATGTTGAATTTTATGTTATTCATTGGTTCTAATTTTTGAACTGCAAGAATTTCCTATAAAATACTTCAAATAAACAAACGACGCCTTTTACTAAGTATTTTGTATCAATATGCGCATCATCGAATTGATCAAAGTCAATGTTGACTCTTTTGATAATTTGACTCATTATGCCTACTGTTCTTCCGTTTTACGGTCGTTAGAGAAGACTAATGTGAAAAGGTTGCCACTGACAAACGCTGATAAAGATAAATTCTTTACTAATGAGTAGGTTTTCGTAAGATGAACGAAACCTTGAAAGGACAAAGCCCTTTAGACCGTCTTACAAAAGTTATGACTGCTTTAATGAGTTTTCAGCATGTGAATGAGATATTGGTGATGATATTTTATGGTGAAATTTCCATCTGAATTTTTGTGATTAGGTACATTGAATGACTCTTATAAGGTCTTAAAAGTTTCGGCAGACATGAGTGCTTTCTTCTCGCAATAATGAATTTGTATAAAAACTCGATGTTTACAACCTTTTTATAAATTATCAGGGCTAGTTTAAAAACTCAATATCTTGAGAAGGAAGCATGCATTTCGACCTAAACTATCAAGGTATTCTAAAGATCATTTGATGTTTCCGTCAATAACTTCTTCAAAATGTTAAAAATTTATTAAAAATAGTCCTAACTAAAACGTATATGTGAGTAAAAAGTTCCGTTCTATCAGTGTTCGTCGATCAGAGACCTTCCATCATAAGTTTTCTGTAGTTATATATCTCGAATGATAATATTAATTTTCTTATTTTAGTTAATGTCGACGGACAAGAATGGGATAATGTCAAATTCTTTCAAATCTCATCTCAATGGCATACACATATTAAATATTTTCCATTAGCTTTGTTTAATGATATACGCAATGCTTAATCATTTCGATAAGATTCTAGTCAATTAGAATGTCACACATCACATCTTTTTACAATGGGTTGTTCTTATAACACCTTCTTCTCTTTGTTGTTTTGTTTTTGATTTGTCGTTTGTTTTGTATATACTTGTATTTAACAATGAGAAAAAAAAAAATCTTGCTTGCATATATGTTAATCCTGTCTTCAGATGTCATAATAATGCTTATGTTGTACATTTATCTTATTCTATTGAATGATTTATAAAATATATTTTGAATTTGATGATGGAATATTGTTAAATAAAAAAATTTTCAATAATCAAACATTCATAATTGAGTGGTTTATGTAATATAATTTATAATAATTTCGATAAACTATTGGTTTTATTCAAATATATGTCCAAGATTACTGTGTTAGCAATTATTTTAACGTCTTTTTTTTTCTTCTGCTTATGATTTACAAGCATGCAAGTTTAGAGTGTATGAAAAAAATTTGATAAGTTGAGATAGAAATAGTAAAAATTAATTTTTATTCATAAATATAAATGTTTATAATTAATTCAATATTTACAATTTCGAATAAATAATAAAATGATCGTATGCATTAAATTTCAATTTGAATAAAAGCTGTACAAATTTGTCGCTTTTTAGATATTTATTTTTCTTTCAATTAATAATGAGAGAAAGTTTGATTATTATTTTCTTTATTTTATTAAATCAAATCTATGGGCAACAAATGGAACTTATCGCTGGTCATGTGGTAAGTTTGAGTGATACAAAGAAACAAAACAGTAATAATCGAAGTTTGTTTTCTTTTTTATATTTTAGTTATTTAGACATGGAGATCGAACACCTATCTCAACATATCCAACAGATCCAATGAAAGAAAAAGATTGGCCTAATGGGTATATTTTTAAATATTTATATTCTCATGAACTTTTGTTTTTGTTGATTCTAGTTTTGGTCAATTAACAACTGCTGGTATTGAACAACATCATCGTCTCGGAAAATACCTTCGTCATCGTTATGGATCAATCCTTAGTAAGAATTATGTTGCTAATGAAATTTACATTCGTTCAAGTGATTATGATCGAACATTAATGTCAGCTCAATCAAATCTTATTGGTCTTTATCCATTGTACAATATCTCGGATGACAAAATTCCAATTCAACCTATTCCAATTCATACTACATTAGAAAGTCAAGATTTTGTATGTTATTTTCTAAGATAACAAAAAAAAGAGGAAATTAACTTTTTTTCTCTTGGCTTAGTTGCTCGGTCTCAATGATTGTCCGCGATATGATCAAGTTGAAAACGAAGTTTATCAATCTGATGAATTCAAAAATATGAATACATATTATGAAGTATATATTCAATTTTTATTTCATTTTTAAGAAGAAACCCATTTGACTGATGTCTGCCCTTTGATTTCATGTTCTGTTCATAGGCAACAATCTTTGTGTAAATAAAAATCCTGAGAGAGTTCATGTCTATAGATTTTTCTTTCTGTGTGATGTTCATTTGACTGAATTTTCAGTCGAGTGTATAGCACTGAGAAAAGTTTAATCATAAGTAATTTACGTCTGAAGTTTTACACAAGAAGAGATCTTGATCTTTATGATATTCGGTAAGTCTCTGCTTAAACGGATGTGTTCTTATTCATACACCGAATGACTAAAAGTTGGGTTATTTTTAAAGCTTTCGCAGAAAAATAATATTTTTTGCTGATGTTATTATTTCCTTAGGTCACGATCATTCTGAAAGTTCGTAATGGCGTCGTAAATAGCTTAAAAAAACTTCGTTGATGCACAAGTTTCGAGCATAGTTCACTGTAATTCATCGTTCTGTTTTACGAGCTCTATTTTTCCTATCAAATGGTCATCGTTTTTCTCACTATTTTCACCATTCTATAAAACTACGAAAAACAGCGCCATTTTCCTTGATCTCGATCGAAAGAGAAACTTGTGATTTTTTTTTCGTGATATCCTACAATTGGCTGAAAACTCAAAGCCATGAGCATAATTCGTGAAGAAAGGCCTATTGATATGAAATCATTTAGTATTTTTATCTACAGAATGAATCTTATCTATGAGCAAAATATGAACTCAAATAAGAAATATCAGTCAGATGAATTGCCTCGTTAATAAAAAATCTTTTTTCTTTATAGCCTTTTTTTAAAAACCTTGAAATATGGACAAATTTAACTAATATGTCTATGTATCATAGTTGGGGTATCGCTGATACAATTTTTATTGAAGTAAGAATAAAGAAATTTAATTTTCTTTTAATTAGTTTTTATTCGTTTTTTCTTTTAGCATATTTATAATAAAACACCAGAATGGGCTGATGAAAATGTTCAAAAAAATTTAACCATTATTAGTGATCTTTCATATCATTTTCTTTATTCAAATAATGATAGTAAACGAATTCGAGGAGGTTTGCTAATTAAATAACAATATATTTAATGATAGAAAAGATTTGTTCATATAGGTCCACTGATACAAGACATATGGATGAATATGAATAGTTCAATTCACGGGCAAACTTATCGAAAACTTAAAATGTATTCAGCTGTAAGTTGAAAATGATTTTTCACAATTTTATATGCAACTATTATTTGTAGCATGATACAACAGTTAGTGCGGCTCTCGCTTTTCTTGGTATTAATTATCCACATTCACCAGCAGTAAAGATAATTGTATTTGATTTTATTCGTATATCTGTTATGTTTTTATTTAGTATGCATCGGCGTTATTTCTTGATCTTTATAAACAAAGTAAATTTTTATTTTTTTAAATTCATAAATTAATTCTATAGTTTATTGTAGATTCAAACTATTATATTAAAGTCGAATATTTAAATGTAACAGATTCCAATAAACCTTATCCGTATCTATTAGATGGTTGTCCATCATTGGAATGTCCGTTAGATACATTTACGGCTATATATCAAACTCGTTTTCCGTTAAGTGCTGAAGTTGAATGTGCGAAAAAAGGTCCACCTACTCCGTCAAGTAAGTTCATATATTGCTGATTAATAAAAGTAATTTATTTATTTAAGATGATGGAAATAATAAGATGACTATTATTTTGAGTGTTTTTGCTTTTGGTCTTGGCATTATTATCATTGTAATATTTGGATATTTCTATATACGAAGAAAAGAACGGCATTCACCTCTTCTAACTACTGAATCCTTTTCACAAATAGCTTAAAGCTCTCAAAGACATTTATTCTCAGAACTAACATCTAAAATCAATACGAAGAACATTTTTTTTCTGTTAATCTTATTCGGCGTATAATTCTATTTTTTATTTTAACCAGTTTTTTTTTGGAGGATATTGAATATCAGTTTTTGTTGTTCATTGAAAGATAGGAATAAATAAAGAGAAAAAAAAAAGAAACTTCTTTATTTCCTAAAGCACATAAACAGTGAAATTACGAGCGTATATCGCCGTATCGTGCACAGCTAAGTACAGATTTTGTTTACAATGGTGTTCGTGCCGTAAAACGATCGTATTCCCACGCAAACAACCGTATACTACTGTAGAGAATTGAAAACGATTCTTCTAAGAAACTCTTACTTCTTACCACGTAAGTGTCAGAGTTACAACCGATCCTGTTCGATTGATTACCGATCGATTCAAAAAAGTCTTTTAGACTGGCGAAAACTGACAGGTATTTTGAGTCATTATTAATTGGTTAATTGGAATTGCTTCAAAAAACATTAATTTTTCTTTTTGCTCTTAGACTTTTAAAAATCTTCAGAAAAAAATATCATGTTATAGTTGTTTATATCTGTTGGTTTCTGAAAGAAGAATATGTGACATATCTATGTACAGCGCGTAAAAAAAGAGTCATTTACTCATCAACTGATTGCCAAATTTGTCATTGATTTCTTAAAATAGACGTTGTATGATGAAAAACTCAAATTCACCACGTTTCCGTTATTTGATAACGTAACTAGCCAGTAACGGTAACTAAACTTTGTTAAGGCGCTAAGTATCTCGAACAGGAGAGGAGGTGATCCTCTACTCTTGGGAAATTTTCGTTTTTTCTCAACGACATTTCTGAGTAGTCGGCATTGCACCCCAATCTTGTTGACCTCAGGACATTCCTCTCACTAAGTACAGATGAAGTACGCAATCTTGAAGCCTCACTTTTTCTCTTTTGTAAAAATTACAAGTTTGAATTTTATTTCGTTCTGAAGTTTTATACATAGATGAGCATGATTAAAATATTTTTTAAGAGATGATAGATTATCTATGAATTCTTTAATGCTGGTTATCATTGATATAGTGTGTTCATATTTCATAGATAGAATAAAAGTAGTGCCAATTAATAACAATCCAAAACATACATAAATATTATTTTTGTCTTAAAACTGATGAAAGAAAAATATTTTGTCTATTATCAATTCAAGATAATAAATTTCGATGCAATATAACTCAAAACATAAATATATCAAGAGGAATAATGAAAGTTATTCAATTGTGGTTCATTTTTTTTGGATATGATAAAAAGAATTAAATTGAATTTATTTTATAAAATGAAAATAGATTTTATTTTCAAGAAAAAGTGTTCAAATTAGTTAATTATCTATCTATTGGTCTAATATTACTTAACCATAATTGAACTTTTTCTATAATATATCTTTTATCAGATAAATTTAAATAAATAGGATTTATTGGTAAATGAGATTGTTCTTGTTTTGTATCTTTAAGATTAATATCATTTTGTAGATGAACTCGTTTGAGAGAAAATTCTGTTTGATCATTGTTTAAAGACCGATTTCGTTTCATGAATAATAATAATAAAAAACAAATTTATCTATTAAGAAAAAAAAACAAATATTTCAAAGTAAAAATTGCGCCAAAGTTAATATTCAATAACATGTTATTTTTTTATCAAATAGAAACAACTACTGTTAATATAGAATATTGACTACATAGTTCATTTTTTCTTATATATAAAAAATTGACTCACTAAGATTCATTAGCATTTCAAGCTTCACTCAAATTTGTTTGATAGAGAAAAATAACTTTTCGAAGGTTTCTCGTTCGTATGTCGAATCTAGAATAGATGTAGAATGACTTTCTCATTTCTAGATGAATGACTCATTGTTAGCTGTATACTGTTTATTAAATTTGTTCTTTTCTTCAAGAAAAAGCTTTTGAAGAGTTTCTACTTAATTTCATTGATTTTTACGTGCGAAAACATAATCGCTTTAGTATTTAAAGGCGTGAGCCAATGTATTGATCGACGACGGGTGAAATTTTTCTATGAATTTTTTTTGAAAATTTCTTTAATTTCGAGAAATGTTGTAATAAAAATAGAGAGAAAACAATAGTAGAGACCTTATTGATAAGAAACCAGATGGGCATGTTTCCAACAACTGATTTCGAACGTCAAAAACTTTTCAAAATCAAATATCTATTTTGTGTCATGACAACTTAACTATCTTAAAAATTTTGCGACAATTATCGGTGGCAAGTAGCTCAACCGATCGAGTACCACATCAATAAGTGTTATTTAATTTAGATGCGAATTTTTAGTATTTTTTCTAAAACACCAGACGAAGTTTCTTTCATCATGTTTTGACATACGATTGATATTTTTTAAATTTTAGCACCATGGATATTTCTTCTTTAAATGTAAGGAATGATCACATGGCAAAGCATGTAATAATAGTGCATGAGTTTCTATACATATCTTTTTGAGATACATTTGTATTGATGTATTACTTTCATTGAAAATTATTTCACACTATAATGAATCAAGAAACACATGATTGCTCAAAATAGAGATGACAATTGTGGTATTATGACGCGTATACTTATTAATTGAATTATATCTCAAAGAATTGTGTGTGTACACATTTAAAAAGAAGTTTCGTTTGCTTTCCAAACGATTTGTTATACAGTCTACATTCCTAATTATATATTCATATATAAATTGTGTCGAAAATAAAAACATGAAAAGTCTGTAAATGAAAACAAAAGAGTCTTTTTTTTTTCAATGATTTATTATTTAGTTAAATGAGAGAATTTAAAGTCTTCCTAAAAGTGTTAGAAGTTATTTTTTTATAAAAAAAAAAGTTTTATTGTTCTAAAAAATTACATGAATTGACGTAAACGATCAAAATCTGATTGACTTCGAATAAAGCCAATGTGAGAATTCATTAAAGTTTCAAAAGAAACATCTTCTTGGTGTTTTTCATTCAAATGGTTTGTATAATAATGAAAATGATTTAAAAGAAGAAGATCCTATGATATAAAAAACAAAATGAAATAAAGTAGAAGCAAGAATAGTAATGAACTAAAACCTGATTATTTTCTTGATTAGTATTAGAATTTCGTTTTAAAATTTGAATTAAATCATTTTGAAATGTTTTCCATGATGATAGATGTGAAAGAGATAGTATTCGATAAGGTAATACAAGATCTGCTACACTATTTTCAATAACATTTCGAAGACTTGTTGCAACTAATGATGAAAAATCATTTTCATCAAACGATTTTTCTTCGTCAGAGTTTAACATTTTAAATAATTTATTTAACATCCGTTAAAGATTTCTTGTCATGAGGTCGCTATCAAATAAATATTCGATTAGTTATTTAAATGGCCAAAGGAAATAATGAAATTTTTTTGTCGAAATTTTCAAAATCATATACATAGATTTGGGTGTTTCTTGAAGAAACGTACTACGACTACATCGATGTTATCTGAAGTAGTTTAAACTTTCCAAAAGTACTAGAACTTATTGTCTTGATACCAAAAATCATTATTAGAAATTAGAAGGCTGAGACTTTCATAACACCTTTTCCTTTCTTAAGAAATCTTTATTATGATTTCGATTTTAGAATAGTAACTTCTTTATTTCTACTCATTGAACATTAAAAAAAATTATTATACATTAAAAATATTCATAAAGAAGATTGACAGACAAAGCATAAGTCATCTTTATCAAATTTAATATTAATTAAACATTATTTCATAATCCGATCCGACTTGTGATAATTTTGAAGATGAATACATCTTTCGTTATGGCTATTCCATTATTTTTTTTCTTCTTTTTCAAAGAATAAATTAGTAAAGCATGATGATAAATCAAGACTGATTTATCTCAATAGATAGGACCCTATTGACATTAAAGAAAATCTAAAAGGATTCTTCTCCGTGAGTCTTTTTTCTAGAGCTATTAAGCTTTATATTCGAGAATAGAAAATGTTAGAAGATTTGATATTCCCACCATGAATTTATTCTATTGAGAAATTTATTCACGCACGGTTTGAATTCGACAGTCGACTTTGAAAACAGTCTAAGAGGAACTATAGCACTTTATTGAAAAACTCACTAAAATGATCATCAGTCAAGAAGAAACTCTCATGAGCATGAATTCTTATAAATAGACTTTGTCAGGTTGATTCTAAATCCGGCAAGCTCTTCTCGTATGTTTTCTCTATGTTCAATATGGGTTTCCAAAAGAGGCAAGACTCCTCTCAAAAGCAATTTATCACTTGGCGTCATTCTCTCTTTATTTTATTTTGTATATAAAATGTATTTAAAATATTTTTATCAATTTTTTGTGCATGAACTATTTCTTTTTTTAATGAAAACAGCCATAAAACAAACAAGAGCGAATAAAATAACTAATTAGTGAATGATAATTGTTTATTCCATTGGACATAGAAATTTGTAGCGAAATTTTTTGTAAACAAAAATAAACTTGTGAAAACTAATCCGATTACGCAAGGAGAATTTCTTTTAAATTTTTCTTATTTTTCAGCTAAAATATAATGCTTATTGATTTGATTGTCTTATCTAATTATTATATTGGGATTGACAAAAACAATAGATTTTGAATATAATTTTGTAATTGAAAGAAACAGTAAATGACTTGATTATGTTTTCAGAGTTGTTGAATGAAAATCAATTCAGACAGAATAAGCTCTCCATTATAGCCATCATATTATTATAGCAAGTTGATTATCGCTATTCGTCATTCCTTTCTTCGCTAAGTATGTTATATATTTTTGTAATAATAAAATATCAAGTTAGGGATATCTTTATTTTAATAAATTCTTTTCGTTTAAAAAATTCAAATCATTCTTTCCAGAAATACAAATTGACAAAAAAAATATTGAGTCAACATTGCTTCATTTGATAAAAAATTTAAAGTCTTATAGATAGATCCATGTACTATCTAATATAATAAATATAGGTGCCTTTGAAAATAGAAGGCAATTGCTGACAACTTAAATAATTCGCAGAAGATAAACGATATTGAAAAACGGCTTTCGTTAGATTGTAGCCAAGTTCAGAGTACATCAAATTTATTTTCAATAAAGTGTGATGAAGTTATCGAAATGAGTTTTTAAAAAGTCGCCATGACTTTCAAAGATCGAACATTAAATTTCAACTTTTAAAAATTATATTGGATTCAGAAAATGTTTTTCCTCTAAGCGACACAAATCCAAGATTTCTAGCTTATATTGTTCAGAAGTTATAAAGGTTGATTAGCATAGCTCAAAAGAAAACAATTCTTTTAGTCAAATATAAGCTTTTAAAAGAAGGTCTTAAGAAACCTCAGGTTGTTACTAACTTTTACTCAGTGTCTGGTTACTGATTTCTAGCTTTTGACAAAAACAATCTATAGTAAATAAATAAAAAAAACAGATGTTAGAAATAAAGAAAAAACAAAAAATGTTATATCGCTCACACTGTTTCACCTCAATGACGTGCCCTTACAATAAATTTCTACTTTAATATTAGTTTCACCCACATCCATACTATTAGTTTGATATATTGATTTCAAAATTAATGTCAGTTTGAGATTTGTCACTTCTTATTAAAAGTTACAACTGAATGTTGAACCTTTGGAAATCATTGTAGTTTTTCAAAGATTCATGTCAAAACATTTATGAAATCTGATAGAAAAAAACTTCTCTACTAATAATTCAATGTATTCCAAACTTGACTACAAACTGACAAAAAAATCATTTCATAATATAGTTCAGCTTTTGCCAGTCATTCAAGCTATGGTTACATGTCTTCTATTTCTAAATGCATCATAATTTCATTGAAATGAAAAGTTCTTCCATCAAAAGGACAATTATGAAGATTAGTTAATTATATATAAATATAAGTCTCAAAATCTATTATCAATTTGACATATTTACAAATTAAATTTCTTTTACTTGATGTCCTTCTTGAAATTCTTTAACAATGTGAAAAAAAAGACTTTCTTTTCTAATGATTAACTAATTTTTTAGCTTTACAAATTAATAATTAAACTTGACATAACAGTTATCGCTCATGAACCATGAATATTCGCTTGATTGAACAGAGATCTCATTTTATTCTTCAATGCGCGGAGAAGTGATAGACGAAAAAAAAAGACAACGGCAAGAGAAAGAAAAAGAGAAAAAACTGCGACAAAAAAGAAGAACAAGAAAACGAAGCAGTCACACACTATTTGCAGACAATTCAATTTTTAAGCAAAGAGTAAAGAATAGTGAGATAAACCGGTTGAGAAAAACAAAATCAAAATAATCGAATAACCATCATGATCAGTGCAAAACAAAAAAAAACAAAAACAAAATTACATGATAGAAAAAGAAAAAAACAGTACTTGTCTTGCCTATAAACTCATTTATTTTTCTCTAACCATAAACTCTACCTTTGCTAATCTATGTTCCTATTCATACACAGTATCACATCGGCAGAGATAGACGAATAAAGCAAACACGAAAATATCGTCGGTTCGTTCTCTTTGCTGTTTTTTTTCTTATTTTCAAAAACAAAAAAGAAAAGAGGGACATCCAAGAAACAAAAAAAAGAAAAAAGAAAAAAAGAAAGTCCGAAATAAACAAACAACAAGAATATGCATGCCGACAAAAAGATGTTTTTGTAGAAAACAATTAGATAAAAAATAATATGTAATAATCAAGCATATGTTTGTATGTGTATGATGTAAATAAAGGAAGACAAAGGAATGTCGAAAAAAAAAGCATTTGAACACGGACAAATTCGATGATCTTGTTTTCCAAAACAGGGCTTTGCACTGTAATCAGGTGATAATACACATGAAATGGTGGGATCAGAATAGTAGGCATGCAAAAACAAAAACACAATATACAGTCGACTTTATTTGATGTCTAATATTAAACAAAAAAGAAAATCAATTAATTTATATGAAGAGAATTTCAAATTTTTATTTTACCGATTTAATGACCATGAAATCCATTAGCATAAGGTGTTGTTAATAGTGAAGCCTAAAAATTAATATATTATTATTTTTAGAAATAAAAAAGAAAAAAAAATTCTACTTACAGCAATAGGTAAACCAGGTGATGGACTTGTTGGTTGTAAATATTGTGCTGCAAGTTGATCTGCTTGAAAGAAATCAATGCCATTACCACCTTAAATAAATTTAGATTATTCAATTTTTCAGAAAAAAAAAGAAAGACAATACAAAATCTTACTTCGTTGTAATATTGAATCACGAGGAAGTGGACCTGCAGCAGTATGAATTCCTTGTGGTGTTAGTGGATATTCAAAATAACGTTGTTCACCAGCTGGTGTTAATGTTGGTGTTTGAAGACCAACAGCTGCCGGTATGTAACTAATCTGTGCTGATGGTAAACCTAATATAATAGAAAGGAAATTTTTTTTTATAATTCATTTAAAATATTATTAGGAAGAAAAAAGCTTCTGTCGATATAGCTAATTCAAAAATCTTCAGAAGGGGCAAAGGAAAAGAAGATAATTTATACACAAATCAAAGAAAAACAGCAGTAGAATATACTTCTGTATTTTCTAACTGACATACTGCTGAATTTTTGATCTGTGTTTTTCTATTGATCATTATTCGGCTAATTAAATAATCAAAATGTGTATGAATAATATATTCTAAAACAAGCTTTATGTGTCATTTTTTCTATAGCACACTCTCACCATCAGTAGAGGACATTCCGTCTACAAAAAAAATATAGTGCGTATATAAGAAAAAAAAACAAACATAAATATATAAACTAGAGACACTTTTTTTTCAAGAGAACAATATAAAAAAAACGTGTACCTAACATATCACGAACTACGATACTAGGTATATATATAATCTTGTTTATTTTTCTATCCTATCGTCTATGCGCTCATAATCTACTAATAGAAAAAAACACATACGGATTATGATTTTTCTTTTTCTTTTTCATGATGTAGCTGAAAATATTGGATTTTTTTTTTCGTAAACAAATACAATTAATTAGACATACCAGGTGAAAATGGATAGATTGGTGCTGCATAGGTTGTTGGAATACTTCGATTTAAACCATATACATAAGCACCTATAATGAATACATTATTGAGAAATAATAAAATGAACACACAAAAAAAAATAAATAAAACTATTTATTTACTGAGTATATCACCATAGGCACCACGTTGTAGAGCTGCCTTTCCTTTAGCCATCTGTTGAGCATACATAACTTCTTTTGGTTGAGCTTTTTTGCATTCAACCTGTGTCACATTAATAAAATA